ACAAGTCAGTGAATCATAGCTTCTCCATATCATCAGTCTTCACTAATTACACATGACACCCACTAAAATGTGACCTCTCACTTAAATAAGAAAAAGGAGTTCGGTGTCTGTGCTTCTTCACCAACAGTTGTGTCTAACAGTCGCCAATATTGTACCTTGTATGTTCTCTCTGTATGAATAGCACAACATCTGTAGTAGTGCCAGTCTTTTCTTAAGATTTCTCAAATAATTATATCAAAATACTATAAAGATCGTAATGAAAAATAATTGAATTTTGGCAGATGTAGTCAAAACATTTATATTCAAAACAGTTTTGCTTTAACTGAAGTTGAAAAAACAAATCCACAAGATGAAAATACATCCTCACAGGCAGTGGCATAAAACCAAAAGAGGAAGAGAAAATGGCCAGGTTCATATGATTTTTGTCTCTACTGGTGTTGTTAAAAAGGTCAATGTCATTTGAAATAAAGTGGTACAAAGCGTCACATACATTTGACCATATATATATCCATCCATGGATGGATGGATGGAAAGCGTCACATACATTTGACCATATATATATGTATACTTATACAGCACAGTACACACTAATATAAAACATCGATGTTTTGTCTTACGATGTGTTGCGACGATCATGGAAAACAAACACGCTGCAGGCTGAGCAGTAAACCAGCTTTACAGTCTACGTAAGTGCAGTAAACCACGAGAAGCCATGTAATGGAACCCAAGCCAGTATAAACTGGACAGTGCAGTTAATGGCCTTAAACATGATGACACAAAAAAAACACGGTAATTATACACACACTGATGTATAGAGTAACTTCAAAAAGTAGCTTTCTTTTGAAAATTAAAATATTTGGCCCCAATGTATCTGAATCTTCATTGTTGTATATTTGACGTGACACAGCGAACATGTAGCATGTTAGCAGCTACTGTACATTTGTTCACCACAGAACAGGCCATTTCCACTAAGCTCTCGGCTGCAAGCATCCATTCACGATGCAAATCAATTTACATGACAAAACTGCATATCAAGGCTTTGAGCTAATGTGTCCGCGAACAACTGATGGTGTAACACTTGTTTACAGGTCACTTGGGCTCAGGATAATAGAAACCTGGTAAAAACATTAAAAATGGTCGCCAATGACATATGACATATATGGCATATGACAGGCCCGAAATGTTCAATAGACAGATCACGATCGCAGGCTAACCAAGAGCCCGCACTGTAATGAAAAAGCCTTTGTTATTATTATAGAGTACTATTTCCTATCTCATAATATACCCCTCCTCTTAAAATAATCTCTACGCGCTTCCTCATTAAAGCCATAATTAAACTCCATACCAACATTGTTTATTGCCTTAGAAGTGTCTACAAGCAGTGTCTCCCAGGAGGCCAGTGGACAAGTGGAAGAGACATGTTTCACACTGTCCCTAGAAGAAGAATTTTTCCAGGTAAGAAAACTCATCCGACACGAAGTAGAGTGGACACCTGGTGTAACCTTAACGAAACTGATGACTCTTAGAAACATGCTGACCATAGCGAAATAGGGTCAGTACGCTAAGGTAAATTGAGAAAACGAGAGCAGCAAATTTTGCTGGCAACAGAACAGAGATTAAATGGGAGTCAAACACCAGAATCAGCAGGGAAGCCTGTGAATGAGTGCTTCCTGTTAATGAATGCCTCGGCCTCAGCAGTATGAAGTCCTCCCCAGTACGTTAACTAATGGCTTCCTTTAAAAAAAAAAAAACTAGACAAAAAGTTCTTAGCACAGTCTTTTCCTTGGTGAGACATAAAAAAAAACCTGTTTGCCGGAAAATTGCATTGAGTGATTGAAACGGAGTAAAACATGATGCAGTAAATGTTACGACATATTTCCAGTTTTCAGTAAAAGGGTGTCCTGTTGTTTTAAGGAAGGCAGCAATTTACCATCAATGCTGGAAAAATATTCATCAATTTTGTTCTCTAGGAACATAACTCAAGGTCTCATTTGGGTTCGACAGAACAGGCTGTTGAATATGGAAAACAACAATGGTTTTTCTCAGCTGTTCTAAAAGATACTGTGGTGTCGGATGAGAGCGCTAAAAACATACCTGGAGGCGTGATGTAGCGCCTCCGTCACACACATATTGTCGCTTACGTACACATACAGTGTTCATAATAATTTCAGCTTTGAGTGCATCAAATGCAATACTGCTGGTTTGATTCAGTGGATTACATCTTCCAGGAGAGCACAATGCAGTTAAATCATTGTCATTAAGGTAATGACAGTGAGACCTGCACGTCTACCAGCAGGTAAAGGCCGATTCATGGTTTTAGACATGTGTGTCTGCAGAGGTTCACGTGACATAAATGTGTTCATCCACCAATGTCTTCTTGTGCCACAGGCCCTGTGTGGATGTGTGTTCACAGAGCATCAAATAATGTGTGGACTGACAGAATCCAGTGAAGACACATAGACCTTGAGGCACCTTCAGTATGACTTGAAATGTGGCCACACATGTATGAGCACATGGACCAAAGTAGAATACCTTTCATGTCTAAACTTCTGCCACTGGGGGAGGATAATAACATTCAGTAAGATTAATTAAGAAGCACTTGTCATCCACATATACGCCATGCAAGGAATCGTAATCTTTCATGAGACATTCCAGATTTATTTAATTCTTAATGTGAAATTTCATGTGGTGACATGTTCCTTAAATTACAAAAGCAAAAGCAAAAAAAAAAAAAAGCACACGCCTACTTGGGTGACATGAACATTCTAGCACAGAGCTGAATCCGCGGTACATCCAACCCACTCCTATAATTCCCCCCAAACCTCACACACTGCACCATATTGTAATTACTGACATGAAACCTGCTGTACACAGCAGAGTGTGTTATTAGTCCTCTAACCCAGGCACAACTTAACAACCAGCCTTCCTCCTAAAAGAAGCAGGGGAGAAAAGCACTGTTTGTGTCTGGTTTTTTGGGCCTCTTTAATGAAAGATAATCAAATATTTTAGATGATTCTGTAATGACCAGACTCCCACTGCAGACACTATAATACTATATAACTTATTTGCTACAGTGATCAACCTTTACCCAAGGGCTCTATATAGTATCTCTGGGCAATATAGTACAGTTTATAATTTTGTGCTTAGCAGCAAAGTAATACTCCCACACATCACAGTTCAGCAGATCACCGAATCAGTCAATAAACTTTACAGCTTGACAAAATCAATATCAGTTTGAGTCTAAGCATATGTTCAGCGAGACGTCCTTGACAGAACCATTGTCTATCCTAACAAAATGACTAGCTGTTGGTTTAAAAATTGCATTGATTCTCACGAAGCAATAACTTCTGGAGTGTAAATCAATGAGCGTGAGGTGGAACACATCACTGGTGAAGCAGTTTATGGACGTTGCCTTTTCATTTATATGAATTACTGGTTAAAGGCACGAGGAGTTGATGTTCCTTTTTTTTTGCTTTCCCTTCATTTGGCTCAAGTGCAAATGTAGAGCTATAGCTGGAGAAGTTAAACAAAGAGTCAAATGAGGACGATTTACTCAGAGCAATTTAGTCTGTGTACGCATGTACAGTATGTGTGTGTGTGTGTGTGTGTGTGTACGATTCCCTGACCAGCGCTGGGAAAAGTCAGAGCAGGTCAACCACCAAGCGGTAGCCAACTTATTATCAGCCAGACTCTGGCGTGTCTGAGCCTTCAGCCCAAGAAAACCACCTCATACTCAAGACTGACAATTTAGAGTGGCTAAAACAAATACAATCCTCGAAAACACAATACAGTCAGCACTGCAATCCACTGTAACATCCACTTAACTGTGGACTAGCTGTACAACCGATTCATCTCCATATTTACCTCACGTTTAGAAACTATCATGCATTCGTGTAAGGAGAGCAAGAGCCCAGAGGAACATTCTAGTATTTCACCATTTTTAGTCATTAGCACTGGCTCAGATTCACTGGCTTCGCTATTGCACAACACACACTGTTTGTCTTCACTGGAGAAAACACTCTGGCCAAATTCAGAGAAGTCTAAAGGTCATATGTTTAGGAAGTGACCCCAAAATTTCCTATTTGCACATTATGCCCTCACTCATTTGCAAAGCAAGTTCTTACTTTCTATCTCAGGTGTAAGGAATACTTAAAAAAAAAGGTTCCTTCATAAACCCATGTTGCCTTGTGTTGCACCTCTGTTGTATAATGGTATCTAAAGGTGTTAGAAGATAATTAACAGCAAATACATCGAAAAATGTCAGAACTAGCGACAATGTAAAGAAAAGAAAATAGTTTCTAGGATTCTAGTTTCTAGTCATGCTACATATTTCTGCACTTAAAACAATTGTGTTTTTAAAATATGACCTACTATTGAGCTGCCACACAACATACAGTAGATAGACATCACAACATAACTAGTTATTTATATTTTTGTTCACCAAACCCCCTTAAATGTCAATGCTATGGTAGTGTAATTAGCATGGAATCAAAATGCTAACACGATTAAAGCAGGTCCTTAATTCAATTTTTGAGAACTAGGAAACTACATTAATTCATTACTACCTTCTCTAGAAAAAGAAAAAAACAAGCCTCCATTTTGAGTTGCAATTGGTCACTTTTCTGAGGAGGGGCGGTGTGTTTACCTGTTCAACAATGTTGTGTTTACAGTTCTATTACTAGGTGGTAATCTAAACATAAACAGTTTTTAACGTTATTGTGTGTAACGCGACAATAGAGTCAGAAACAAATCTCTGGCGTCATGGTGAACCGATACCTATCATTACTCTCTTAAAACCGTGCCACTGGTGGATGCTCCCTTTGTACCCAGGTCTCTTAACAGTTATGCTGCTGATTGAAGAACCTTCTGGAAACTTGATCTGCATTTGTCTTGTTTTGTTTTAGTATATGTTTCCCCTTATATTCATACATTAAAGAATAAACTGTGTGAAATAAAGGACGTATCATCATATTTTGGTGTTTTGGGGCAGATCCACTTACCCAGTAGCAGTAGTTTGACTTCTCTGGCCGCCCTGTCTCCATCTTCTCTCAGGTTCTTATCTATCATTTTAGACCTCTCCGCCGCGGCTTTATCTTCTTGACTGACCGTACAGCCCATGGTTCCCAGTGCTCGCTTCAGGTCTGCTGTTTAGTGTGGAAAATCACCTGGAGAAAAAAATTATAATAACGACCAAGTCCGATATATATATATCCCCTTTATTTCCAAAAAGGGTTTTTTTTTTAACTGACTTCCCCCTTTTTTCTAAGAATGCTGTCAAACGTGACGTGGTGTCAGTTCATCCGCCGTGGAGAGCAACAATTTCCTACGGCGAACTTGGGATTTTTCTTTTTTTTTTTTTACTACTACGTACGAAATTCCCAGTCTCGTCGCCTCGTTCAGTTCACTCAGTTGGCCAACATTGGTGTTTTTCTTCCACGGAGTGTAGAGAAGTTGTCCAACCACCGACAAAGACACATTAACTAACTGTTCAGGGACGACTGACTCTAAACTATTTCCATTTGAGTCGTTTAAACGGACGAAAACGGACCGCGAAGTTGAGCAGGAAAAAAAGGTGGAAAAAAAGTTAGTCCAGCTGTTCAAGACGGGATCTACAAATTCCTTTATCCAACAAACACACACTTCACACTCTCACCGCCTTGAGCTGCGGACAGACCTGCCACTGTGTTCGTCTGTTAGTCGGTGTTAGTCGGTGCTGCCGTTAGACATTCTTCGCCCCGCGTTGAGATTTATCACGTTTGAAGCCACACCCGTAGGCGCCGCGAAGTTCCCCTCTGTCCGAAGAACGACACAGCTCCGCCACCTCCTCTAAAGCCACAGCAGCAGCAGCAGCAGGAGCAGCGGGAGCCGCCCACGGTAAATAAAACAGACGCCCACTCCCGGTGCTTCATGGGAAATGAAGTCAAAGACGACAGTATCCTGGTTTCCCTATGATACATAGTTGAAGTCATGTTGAGGCTGATCCAGGAAATGTGACGACGACAGTCGTGGCATTAGGTGTGTATATTATTTAAATTTTAAGACAGAGTATGTAAATAATTGTCCTATTCTATATACTATATATACTATGCGAAGGTTTGTGACGTTTAAAATATAAATCTCCAGAAAAAAAGTTCAGGAAACACTGCTGTAGCCACACGGCTAATTGTACACGCTATTGTTGCTAGCATCTTACGTTTATGTATTTGACTGTTGATTAACCTGCACCATGGGTTATGATTAGACTCCAACCTCGGTTGATGTTCCACTGTGTCCTTGTGCTAACATAGGCCGCAGCCATAATCAGTGTCTTTCAGTCAAGGCCCCTTTTATTTGTAGCCACTGGTTGGATTTCAAGATATTGATCCGTTATCGATGACTGCAGATCGCGGTAGTAGGAGCTTAGAGTGAGGCCAAGTCAAAAAAAAGCCCTTAGATAGATGTTAAGCTTTTAAAATCTGTCTGATTTGAGACACTTTAACCTGTTAAGACATGTCCATCAGACATGTGACACGTTTTTTCTTCATATCTTTTGTCAAGGGCAGAGACGTGTTAGATTTAATTTGATCGAGTTTTTTTTTTTTCATCCACAGAACAAACAGAGTATGAGTAATACAAGTGATATAATTTTTTTCTGTCACGGTTTATTCTATTTTAAAAAAGTAATTTCAGGGAAACTTTTGAAGCAAGTAGGCGGAAGGGGAAAAGATGAATCCTAACAATAAAACATACATAACAAAACAGTGGCAGTACTGTATATCATGTTGTATCTCCGGGTGACATACAGCTCTACATTGCCATCTAGTGGACTCGAGCTTTATTAGTCAATTTTGCTTCTTTGCAGGTGCAGGAATGTCTTTCGTTTCTGTTCTTTATTTCGTTCACCACAGCTTTGAGAATTTTTTATTTTTTATTAAGAGTATTAGCCTCTTTTTTTTTTTAGCCAAAGCAACATTGTAGAATTAAGTAGTAAACATTTAACTTTCATAGTGTCCCCACACTGGGCACAAACCATATTTAGATTTTTATTAACTATACAGTAAAAAAGATCAATTAAATCTTAACTTCACACCGTTATCAAGGAAACCTCTGTCTTTTTGACATTTATTTTTTCATAAAAATCAACCACAAAAAGTACAAGTTAACCAAGTTATTCTGAAACCATACACACACACTCTGACTCACACACACTGGTGCCCCTTTTAGACAGTTATCTTTAACCCAATCAGCTGTCTCTGCAGGCCCACTTGTAAGGTACACGTTCTCCTCGCATGTTCTCACTTCCCTTTTTTGAGAGGTAGGTACTGTTTCTGAACCCTTCACATTTCTGTACCGCCACTATTTTAACATTGCAGTAAAAAATAAAAATAAAAAATCCCCCAGCATGCATCAGTAGACCGAGCTCGGCCGTTAGGCGTTATGAGAGTTGTCAGAAACGACAATCACAAACAGTGCATTTCATTTCATTATCTTTATTGCAACGTTGTTTACAGTACAGTCATTTTTTTAGGAACATATTAAAATATATGGAGATACAGGAAAAATAGACAAGAATCAAAAGGGCAAAATGGGTTTGAAGTCATTTGAAAATGATTACATTTATATATTTAATTCAGACTAACACCTGGTCTATTTACATTATACAAACTAGATATGCATATCCAATATAAAGTTATACATTTATATACATTATTTATACTGTATATGCTGGCAGGTTTCACTGTTGAACGTCACCACTCCATCGAACCTGTCGTATGTTTCAACAACACATTCACATACAGTAGGAGACAATCATTGCTTCGATCCAAACGTAGGTCCATCAAATATGATCTCGTATCTTGTTTCATTTTGGAGGGATTTTTATTTATCCTGGCAACTGATTCACACATTCTCCTACAGAATGATTAGACACATACAGTATCATCAACAAACTGTTACAAACTGACGGCGAAACACGTACGCACAGACCTGACGGAAGTCCATCTTTTTTTTAAAAATGTCATGAAACACAGGCAAATACACCAGCTCACTAACCACTCCATATTAGTAAGTTAATGTTTGCCAACAAGCAGTGGAAAAAATAGTCAAAAATACTTTTAAAAAATACCACTGATACTAAACCACTGACATTTAATATCACTGGGAAAAAAAAACCCACATTAAAACAGTAATTAACATGTTTCACATCCGATGGATTAACACAATGAACCAGGTCCAACTGGGTGACATGATGATAAAAAACATAAGAGACAAATACTGGATTATAGTCACGGACAGGTCAAAGGTCAAAGGTCCAGGTGCGAACATACAACTGCATATATGTTTTAATACAAAGGATTCTTGTACGTTTTTTTTATATGTATATATTTTCTATAACAGCACAGACACTTAAAGACCTCCGACTGTCGCTCCACCTCAACTCCATCTATCAGACAGACCGTGGGAGGAAGTTTTGCAGCGGTTTACAGGAAAAGCCGAGTATAGGGTTAATTCAAGTAACGTTTGAGAAGACGTCCATTTTTTAATACCATCAATACAGCAATACTACAGTGTTTTCCTGATACACGTTAGTTGGATTAATTTAATAAAGATTTTCGCTTTACAAAGAGGCTGAAACTCGTCAAAATGGCAAAAATAAAAAAAAATATTTGTGCTTAGTAAATGAAAAGTGCTATTTCTAACCACTGATAGCCCGGGGCAGTAATGAGACGGTGAGTCCACGCCTCTGTTAGGAATCGTGCTTGTGCTGGATGTGAGGATTATTTACAGACAACGAACCCTGTTGATGGTTGACACGTTTTGGTTGTTTGTGATTCCTTTCAAATGAACGTTCGATGGAAGGATCTCTCCACCCTGTTTGTTGGTGGAACGCTTGTGTCGAAAAAAAAATCACCAGTTCGTAGTACTATATTTAGGTCCTTAGTAACAGGTATTACTGAAAAAGAAAACAAAGTCTGAAGTCTGTCTTTTCTCATCCATCAGAACTCACTGCTCATCATCACGTCAGTCGTCGCTGCGTCATCTAAAGGTTTTCATCAAGTACAGGTGAGTATTAAAATATACATCTAGGAAGGAATGTAGTATTACATGTGCTAATATCACTGCACCACAGACTGTGAGTGGTTTTTGAACCCTGCTCTGTTGGAGGTGACCATTTAAACACCTCTGTACAATGAAAATAAACTGCAGAAGCAGCAGCAGCAGAAGTCGGTGGAACTGGAAGGAAGTGTTTTACAAAATCTTTTTTTTTTTTTCTGTATGCATATGTTGTTACAAAGCTGAAGTCAGCTTTTGTTTTTGTTGAATATCTTTCCAAAATTCTGATTTTTTTTTCAGAATTCTGACATTAGAGTTATTTGAATAACTTAGAATAATAATCATAAAAATATAATAGATGCAAACGAATAACTTAGAATAATAATCATAATCATAAAAATATAATAGATGCAAAATTATTATCTATAATTCAATAAAGTCTATTAAAAAAAAACAACAACAGTTACCAGTGAAATACCTCAGATTATGTCGTCTAATCTGAGTGGCAGGTTACAGATTACAGATCATCTGAGTCAGGAACGAGACGGAGTTGTTTTCTTTTACATCCATCTCACAAGGCACAGCCTCCGATCATCATCATCATCATCATCATCATCATCAAACCTTCCTCTCAGGAAATTCATTACTGGCCTGGATGTACAGTACAATGTTATGTCATCAGAGTTGGAGAGAGTTTGTAGAAGGACAGAGAGCCGCTCTGAGCTCCAGACTCCACCCACGCTGAGGCATCACAACCACCGACAAGAAACCGACCAACAAAAAAGAAAAAAAAAGGAGAAAACAAACCAGAAAAACAGTCACATGATAAAAACAGGTCTAAATCAACCATATAAATGCCTGAATCACACGGAGGGACGGGTCTAGTGACCGCTGACGGCTTTACTGCTGCCCGATGTCCAGTCAATTATGATAAAGCTGAGACTCATGATCATAAACAGGAAGCCAACCCCTGCAAAACAGGCAGCCTGGGCGAGAGAGAGAGAAAAGAGAGAGAGAGGTTAATATTGGCAACAGCTCTGTGGAAGAGGGGGAAGAAGCAAAATAAGACAATGTTTGTAATGGAACATGGTGGAAACTGCTGCTGAATGTGAGGCCTGTTACAGTAATGACATCATCAATCTTTGTGGTTTTGCCTAATGAAAGATCAAGAGCCTAACGCAAGTTTTTTTTTTTTAGAAATTTGCACAAAATTGTGTCAAACTTTCTATTTTTTCTATAATTTCTACCTTCAAATTTCATTACACAACTATAGTCTTTCAACTGAAGTCACTTGGAATCACATTACACAGATAATCAGCAGCAGATTTATGCAGTTCTCATTTTCGAGAGCTGACCTAACTGAAGTTTATTTCACCGACTTTTAACTGACAAACCCGTCACCGTCGGATGCTCACCAAAATTTTGGGCAACGAGCGCATCGGCTCTTCTTCTTTGGGTACAATACGGATGTAGAAGACGGCAGGGAAGATGAAGATGAGGCAGGGGGCAGAGGTGGCACCTGAACAAAAACAGATCAGGTCAATTATTTGAGGATCTTTTTTCGCTTTTTGTTGAAATACCAGAAATCTACAAAAAAAATTAAATGGATAATTTGGAGTCTGTACCGATGATCCCAAAGATCCCCAGGATGTTGGGAGCAAAGATGACCAGCAGGTTGATGAAGGTGAGCAGCACGAAGGCAATGGCGATGTGGCGTGGCCAGTTGAAGGTCTTGTTGGGAAACGCCATCTGCTGAATCGCTCTTCGTACCTGCTCGTAAACAAAGACTTTTTAATGTTTTTGTTACAACAGCTCATGCTCATATTTCCGAGAGGTTCTTTGTTCTTACGGGAAAGAGCACGATGGGCACGGTGAGCGTGACGGCGGTGAGCACGGCCACCCGCACGCACAGTATCAGGACGTCGTAGGGGTCGATACGACTGTAGGTGTGAAGGAGCTCGGCTTCCACCTCACCTGGAGGAGAAATGAACCCAAACAGAGCGGGTCTTCGTTAGATCAACTTTCACAAAGAAACAAGAACAATCGTGCTATATTTTGAAAAAAAAAAAACAAAAATGATAGAAGTTATAATAGAAGGAACTCTAAATGATCTAGAAAAGTGTCCATTTACACAGAGAAACTTGTGGGTTTAATACTTAAATTTATGATCAACCTTACAGTTTGTGATGGCTCAGGTGACTCAGAGTTATGTCTTTGTTAATGCTGCCAGACGACAATATATATTTAATATACGTCACATTAAATTAGCCCTGTCAAAATTAACCTGTGAAAAAGCGATAATTATTTTGTGAAATGAATCAAATTATAACTCATTTAAATTCATGGGCAGAATGACAGAGCAGCTTGGCAGTAAATTATTTTTTCCAATTGTTGATTAAAATTGCTATCAGATGATGAATGTGTTTCAAGGAGGAAAGAAAATATAATAATAATAATAAATTGCTATTTCCACTACAACCGCTAGAGGGCGGTGTCGCACCAAACTGTTTTTCAGCGCTGAGAACCGCTAGAGGGCGGTACCGCACCAAACTGTTTTTCAGCGCTGAGAGTGAATCGTCCCGTGATCCGACCACATCATACGTCAACAACCCATGGTAACATACACAGTATATTTGACTAGCTCGGTGTGTTAAAGGAGTATTCTGCAGTGGGAGGAGGACCACGCCTCACCATAGAACGTTAGGTATCCAAATAGAGCAGCCAGGAAGTACATGCAGTACATGACTGCAATAGAGATGTTGGCCACATGCTGCATCTTTTTCTTGCTGGCACTGAAATCAGAAGATATTGCCATGTGACGTCATGCACATACACAAAACAAACACATACAAGGTCAGAGCATCAGAGCAGCGTGGTTGGCGTTAGTCCCACGTGAAGCTACGACGCAATTTGTGTCACGGAATAATGCTTAGGATTGTTAAAAAAAATACATTCAACACTTTATTTAAAGAGAACAAAAAAAAACAAGCAGATGTGTTTCAGTGCAGTACGACATGCTAACATGGTACAAGCAGCACCGACTTGTTTTTCAATGAAGACGAAGCAGTGCATGTGACGCAAATGCAGTAGCTTTTTCCTGTGCAGGTGATTGGTGGAGCAGAGAGTGTTAGGAACGTACTCGCGCAGCTCCGTGTAGATGGGCAGCACCTCGGGGTGGCACACGAAGGCGAAGGCCAGGATAGGGATGGTGTAGGCCGTCTGAAACGGAATCCCAACAGGTTACCACAGATACGTCAGCGGCGGCCCAGACTTCTCACCTCTCACTTATTCTTTCACTGCCTGTTGCTCCGCAAAGACAGATCACAGAGAGCTAATTGTTTCCCTGTGATTAACTCAGGCCTGGCCGTGGGTCAACACTGGCCCGTCTGAGAATGCCTTCAGACGAGGCTGCTGAGCAGCAGGAAACGCTCTTACTACTGGGTTATAGTAGTTACATCGTTCATCTTTAGGTGACTCTCTAATAAAGTCAGATAAATACCAGGGATTCCTGTCCAACGTCTGTCATTCTCTAAGGAGTAAAATGGGTTTAATTAATTAAATTAGTAGAAAAAAACAGGCTGATTTACATCGACACTGTAACCACGGTAACATGTTCCTGAATTTCCTGAAGAGATTAATGGTCTATCCATCCATCCACCCATCCATCCGGATTAATGGTCTATCTATCCATCCATCCATCCACCCATCCATCCATCATCCATCTAATTTCTATAATTAATCAATTCTAATTTTAACACATGTAGAAGTTTGTCATCTGATGTCCATCCATTTTATCACGTTGTCATGGTTTTTTTTTTTAATCGTGATTAATCCCGCTTAATTGCAATCAGGATTAATCACGATCAATGGTGATTAATCCACAGCTGACCTACGATTAATCACATTTTAATCTTTCGGCTAAAACAGCTCAATAAAAACTGGGTGCATTCAAGTGCTGCAAACAAACGCTGACATCCTCATGCTCAGAATACGAATCGTATCTAGTGACATGCTACAGATGTCCGTGGTTGGATGTCAGAGTGGGAGGGGCGGGGGGGCAGGGCATGCTTGAACCTACCTGTATGTTGAGATTGGCCATTTTGGGGATACAGGCGGGGTCCACCTCCCCGCCTGTATCGTTGGCGCTGATGTTAAGTACGGTGTTGGTCGCATTGAATGCAAAGTCCACAAAGGGACAAGGGATGTTGAACTTCTTGTAGATGACCTGTAGGGGGCCAGTATGGATAAGAAAGACATGATTAGACATCGACAGCACAGACACCGAGAGTCAGAGACGGAGAAAAAGAGAGTCGTGCTTGGATTACACCTCACACTCTCTCAAACTAGGTCAGAGAACAAATATAGCCTGGATCTGCACCGTGCAAACATTATTCTATGGGTAACGGGTGGGAAGGAGCGAAAACACACATCCTGTTACAAGATGATTAAGACGCTTAAAAATAATCAGCGTGTCGAGTCGGAGAACTCACCGAGACCAGGAAGAAAAGCATGCAGCTCAGGGAGAAGCCGCTGGTGTAGCCCAGGTATCCTAAAGCAAAGTCTGTGTCAGTGTCTGCACGTTCACCATCATCACACTTCACAGACGCTCGAGAAACTCTTTCATTTGTATCTGTGTAGGTTCATTCTGTAGGTAATTTTTTTAAGATGTTTCACCTCTCATCCAGGAGGCTCCTTCAGTTCTTCCAGTTCTTACTGAAGAAGCCTCTTGGATAATAAAAACCGATTTCGTCTTTCATTCGTAATATTTCAACCGTCGTCTGATAAACACCAGTGGAGTGGAGTCGTCGTCGTTCTCTTGATTATCTGTGTTTTCTGCCCCATGTTTTTTCCTCATGCCTCGCTGTGTTCCAAATTGACTGGAGGCGCTGGAAGTCAGAGCTCATTATTGACTGGGCTCCACCGCCTGGCGCTGTTGTCCTTGGTTTCTCAAAAGGAATCAGACTTACTACGGCAGGGTCAGCCAACACGCCTCACTCTTTCACTCCCAAACTGGCTTTTTCTTGCCTTTTCCTCTCTGCTCGCTGGTTAACGTGTTCGTCCACACAGCTGGGTTTCACAGAGGCGTCGTGACAGACGCTCAGTCAGACGAATTTGTGTGTGTGTGTCGCGAGAACAACAGAGCGGCAAATAGTAATCTTTAAGAGAGGGGTTGGTCAACGTTTTGTAAAGAGAAGACCAGAATCACTCTAGTCATAAATGACAAGAAAGACATGGCTAGAATACGGCCATAGGTCTGCTGCCATCTTCTGGTGAGATATAAAATAGCTTTTTGTATGCATGTATTTTATACTGTGGTCAACAGTTCGGGCGGGCTGCTGCATGTTATCCATTTTTATGAAATCTGAACATGGGCCGCAATTGGCCCGCGGGCCGGACTTTGAGCATCCCTGCTTTCGAGCATTAGTCACTGTGTTAAAACCCAGGGCCGTACTCCAAAGTTTTGAAGCGGAACCAGTGGAACAATACTGTTTAATGTACTATAAAAAAACTATTCTGAGCGCTGAAAAAAATGAAAATGAAATATTCGGCTGAATTGAATGATAACATAGTGAAAATTTAGGAATTTAATTTGAATTAAATTTCAGGACAAGACATTTTTTGTTTTTACCACACAGAGTGGTTAACGCTCTGCCTTACATTAAAAACATCACTGGTTCGATCCCCAGTGGCTAGCACTAACTGGAAGGCAGATGTGAACGATCCACTCGACTGTTCAACAGTTCCAGTTCCTCAGCACTTTAGCTAAAGGCTTTAACATCCGTCACATTAGCCCGTAATTGCGTTCACTCAACATGAAGAGTTCAGTTACCAGATCACAGTGGAGCCACACTCACCCAGCTGCTTCATGAGAGCCAGAGGTAAAATTACAGCCAGCGACACGATGACCACCAGGTAGTTTCCGTTCAGGTACCATTCACTGCAGAGAGGCAGAAAAAAAACACACACACAGAGAGACAATTGTATTGATTGTTAAATCAATCGGCCTGATCGCTCCACTCAGTCTCACTGATGTTAAACATGGAGTCAAAACATCAACAAAAACATCAGGTTTTCTCATCCGTGGTATTTCTCACAAGCAGCTACTTTTACACAACCAGCGATAATTGAACACCGTGCTAACAGAAAACAGAAAAAAAAATCTATAAAATTATATAAATTACTTTACTATTAAAAATTGTATTATTTTAAATAATAAAAGGTCTGATAAATAAAAATAATACTTAATTTTTTTTATTAAATAATATATATTATACACTTCACTTATTCATTTAAATCATTTTTAAAAAGTGTTTTTCATATACAAACACATCGACTTGTGTTTTGTTATGTACTTTCCGCGTTGCCTTAATAGTAAGAACTGTATTTTTATGTATAAAAATACAGTTTTTACTATTCACAAAATGAATAGTGAAGTGTATTCACTGAGGAGGAGTAAACGCGTGACAACAGTGAATATACGATACACAGACGGGGCTGAGACACAGATACATCGAGGAGACAATCATGTGAGTTATTTTTAGACCGAAACTCAGAGGCAGGAAGAGAGAGAGAGTGAGAGAGAGACAAAGAGAGAGAAAGGGAGAGGTACTGTTCTGTGCACGTCTCAAAGACGAGGCTCATCTTTTATCTTGTCATCCTGTCCTCCAGCCATCTGCTCCATTCACACACACTCTCACACAAACACACCTGCCTGCAAGGTCAGGGTCCACAAACAGCAGAGATCCAGCAGCAACGTTCACAGGTCGAGAAACTGCTTTTTTTTTTAAAATGTAGTAGAAAAAATATCAGGTTCAACTAATTTGATTTTTTTTTTTTTGTCTCAACATTTTCTTAACGTTGAAAATGTAAATATAAACACAGGTACAAGACGTACCTGACCAATCACAAGGCAGCTGTGGGTTAGGGTCATGATCGTACTGTGATTACTGTTAATATACTCAAAGTGTGTCACTGTGTAAAACCTTTTAATATATGAAGAAATATAGTATAAATACAAGTAAATATAGAATATATGTACTGTATATTAGGGCTGGGTTTGTTTTATTAGGATAATTCAATCTGGGTGTGATTTTTATTTATTTTTTAATTGAATATAATGTAATTATTTCTATGGTTTTCCATCTAGTTTGTAATTGTATAAGGATAAAGATATTTATGTAATTTATTAAATAATAAAAAATAATATTAAAAATGGTATAATTATATATATGTTTATTTTTATATTTCTTTTTTATTGTCGATCAACATATTTATGTTTATTCTCTGAAAACTCACTGCACGGTGTAGTTGGATTTATTATCCAGGCGTCAGTGAAGACAGACCACAAACTGGACTAAAGGTTAACGTGGGTGGGGGGTCATAACATCACACTCGAGATCTTCTCTCAAGGACAAAAGTGTTGTTTATCTCCGGGACCACCTGCGCTGACCGCTGATATCCCACGGTTGACGTTAGCTGCCTGGAGCCAAGCTGCGCTCCGATACGAACAGTTCTCTGCTGCTGCTGGGTCACAACCGCAGCTGTTCTCACACACGGCTGCTGAGCATGTGCAGACCAGCACCGACCTGCTGACCGGCGTCAGCAGATGGCTCACCTCAGACGGTCTGCTGAGGCTCAGGGCACACTGTGGTTTTAAGTATTTCCTCTTCCTCAGTCAGAATATTTTTGGTTGTTTTTTTTTTTTGACGTCGCTCTCTCTCCATGATTTTGCGACACTCATCTTGCAGTATGATGTAAAAATTCTGATGGACAACTTTGTCTTAGAGACAAAGACAGAGACAGAAGAGTCTGACGTACGCCTGGGAGCCATTACGAAGGGCAAAAACTTCCTAAAGAAACAACGCAAGGAACGAAAGAAAGCGGATGTAGCACGATCCCATTTATGGTGAATGTGAACAAATCCGTCTTCCGTCCACTGCTACAGTTGACTGCTGTAAAGTCACATGTTTTACATGAACTCAGGTCAGTAGTTCTACTGCAGTGTGAACTCACCCAGCAGGGTTGTCCACCTTCAGGAAGGCCTGGATGACCAGAGGAAACTCAGACTTGACGATGTACAGGTAACTGGACATGGCTGTAGGACGGACAGACGGACGGACAGACAGACATCGTGTTGGTTATGGAACCTATGACGCACTGCGACAAACTGTAGTAGTCTACTACTAGTCAATAAAACCATACTACTACTAGTCAATAAAATTATTTAAATTAAAATAAATAATATATATGTACAGTACATGTTGGGTTTGTGCATCTGTCACTGATAATATATATACATGTTGGGTTTGTGCATCTGTCACTTTACCTCCAATGTTCTGCAGTGTGATGGCGATGCCCGCCGCCATCTTTCCCGGGATCCCGAAGGCCCTGAAACCAAGCTGCTCGTAAGCACGAATCCCTACAAGGCCAAACACCAGACACCGTTTGTTAAAACATGGTCGACTGAACATTCACACATTCAAATGATCCCATCGTACTGTTCCAACGACAGTGTAGCCTAAAAGACGTACCTACAATACCAGATGATTTCAGCAGCAGATGAATAGAATAAGAGGAAAGAGCGGCCACTACTGTCAGAAGGATCCTGGGGGAAAAAAAACAACAAAACAAACAAGAAAGATTCAGAGACAACATTTGTCTGTAAAAACACCATCCTGTAACCAGTGGAGATGAGAGTTCAGCCCGCAGTTTAACGTCCTGCTAATTAAAGTATGGATTATTTACACAGCTGCAGTGAAAAAAAAGCAGATGTTCCTGATGCCTTTGCATTGACTACGTTAGTGGAGCTGGATGCCTGTGGCTGCCCTCTGCACCGGACACTCCAGATGGACTCTTTCAAAAGAACCGTCGCGATGCTCCGTGCTGAGAGTGGCACAGTGAGACCATGCCCTATAAACAACAAACATGGAGCGCTCTGGTCTGGTCTGCGGTTAATCCAGAGGTCCACGACCTGTCGGCCGGTACCAGTCGTTACTGTGGACCAGTACCACACCATCAATGAAGGATCGTTACATTTTAAAATTCAATCCTCTTTTAGACTTTCTTCTGAGTCTGAATGACCTTTGACCTGTCACTTTGAAACATTGACAGATTATCTTTGAATGAGACTGGATTCTTTTGGAATGAAGTAAATCAGTAAAACTGAAGTACTGTTTTTCCCACTGCGGCCCGGTACCAACTGACCTACGGACCGGCACTAACCCCTGGACCAGGGGTTGGGCACCCCTTCAATAATCCACCGGTCATATAAGTGTCATGGACAAGCCTGAACTCTAACAGACCTCACTGAATGTGGGTGACGATCAGGAATTCCGCCTGGTTTGGGAAAACTGACTTTTGTGAATGACTTCTCCTGACTCAGTCCAAACATTTCCAACTATGTTCCAGCCTCACTACTGCTGGTTCTGTTGGCAGCACGGAGCCGCTCTCCCACACCCTGTCTCTCTCTTGTTGGAAAGGAATGGCTTCACATCTTGGCACATTCACTTTTTTGCTGGTTTGAGTGTTTGACTTTTCTCCGAACTCCGTGGAAGAATGCCGTCCTGGCCCCGAGCGGAGGGTTTATTCAGTCAAGTGTCGGTGGGAGGACAGATCTGCTGACAGTCAGACAGACTGACACACTTGGGTCACTGTAGCTCTGCACAAAGCTCTACACCCCGCTGCATTCCGGCGCGCCCCACAGCCACTGAAGCCCTGTGCATGTGTGTGTGTGTGTGTGCGTGATCCTGACGTTCCTACGTATGTATTAACTCGGGCCGGGAATCTGTGTTGGGGTGGAAAAATGGTTTCTGTTGCTGGGTTGACCAATATTTGTACTGTCATTGTCTTAAATATATTACTTCATAACGTAAAAATTGATCAAATATATGCAAAAATATAATTTAATATATCATTTCTTTTATCTCTCATCCCCTGCAGGGGGTGCTAAATTTCCACTTTGAAAGCTACGGTCTTGCTAGTTGAGTGGAGTTACGTGATGATAAGACCAAATACATATACATATATTTTCTTTTGTCTTTGTCTAAAATATTACATGAACTCGTCAGAGTAAAGTGGAACATCTGAGGCTCAGAGTTCATTTCACTCCAGTCTGAATGTCAAGGTCAATGACGTCCTTACAGTCAGGGGGTTCAGTGGGTTCACAACGACCAGACAGCTTTAAAAAAACAATAGTCACTCAACTCAGCTCAGTATAAGAAGCTTTACCCAACAACTAACGGAAATCCTGTGGACATGACTGCCATGGTAAACACTCGATGTCCTGGAGTGGAGTTTTAAAGAAAGAAAAAAAAAGGTTCAATCTACAGTGAATGTCCTTCAGCTTTTATAATGGAGAAAACAACAGAGTGAACAACGGCAGGTTTGATGTGGGGTTTTTTTAACAATGGCTTTTTAAAAAATCATATAATGGAATTTGTAAAGAGCAAGACTTTTTATCAAGAAGGTAATATTTATATTAGTTAGCATAAATACTTTTCTCTTTTATTTTAGAAAACATTTAAACTGTGGTCATTTTCAGTCTGTTCATTCACTCTCTCTGAATTCTTTGGTCTTTTGGCACAAAACCTTATTCCATGGATTAATAATGGGATTTAAGTCGTTTCTAATTAGTTTTGCTGCTGCTTAGTTATTGGATCAAGTCTTTAAACATGACCTTGGATTTGGTTGGTTTATTGCACCCCTCAATACAAATAGCAAAAAAAAGATAAAAACTAGGGATGTCTAACTTTTTACTAATATCCCATATGCCGATATTGTCCAAGCGCTTAATTACTGTAAACAAACAAAGATAAAAACTAGGGATGTCTGACTTTTTACTAATATCCGATATGCCGATATTGTCCAAGCGCTTAATTTCCGATTCCGATATCAACCGATACCGATATATGCAGCCGTTTTCCCCCAAAACTTCGGTAAACATCTCAGTACCCTACAAGAGATTCCAGTAAGTTGGCGAATCCCAGGGATTGTGTTATCAGGTTTTTATTATTATAGGAGGAAGAACCGATAACGATTCTTACAGATAGGACTTAATTAGGCTAACATCTGGCCGATAACATCGGAATCCCGAAATAAAAACTGTCGTAAACAAATTTGTTTTCTCTTAGATTCTGTATTTTAAATATTCAAAAAAGCCAGAAGCCCACAACATCAGAAAATAAGATTCCAAATTTAACGTCTTTTCGTAGAGGCTGGAGGTAAAAGCGTGAAAAAATACACTGACGCCACACGGACGTCATTATACTGCCAGAGAATAAGGACTTAAATGCTAAGCCCCTCACAGATGCAGCACATAAACACCCACTGCTCCTCAGCGGTGGATGAATCACACGGAAGCTCACGCTGTAATTGCAGTTGCGTGTATTTTTAGCAGCAGTTAATGACTCCTCTGCCTGCTATCAATCTCAGCATTTACTATTGGACCGACGGGTGATCGCTGCGTGTGTTTTAAACAGTGTCTGCAGACTCAGAGTTAACACAGGACGATTATCATCCAGTTAGCTGCTGTCACTGTGAAGTCCAGTCCAGAGGAAATGTCATCTACAGGAAGTCGCTCTGCGATAAGTCACACAATCTCTGATCAGCCGTGACATCACGTACCAGTTCATCGAGATAAAAGGTTTGACTCACAAAAACAGGACCACTCCGGTGTTGGCCATGGCGTAGGCCAGACCCAGGATCCCACTGCCCATGATGGCGTTGCCCAGGTTGAAGACCGACATCCCGAACGACGTTTTTCCTTCAAACTACGGGAGGAAGAAAAACATGAAGAGTTTGTATTGATTAGATCAAATTAGAGCTGATAAATGATTCAAAATTTAATCTGATTAATCATAGGGTAGCTGTGGATTCATCAAGATTAATCGTGATTTATCGTGATTATTAGATAAATTGTCATGTTCGAAATATTCATTCTGTAAATCTCTAGAAAGAAGGACAAATAAAAGCAGGTAGATCTCAGTTTTTCTCAACTGTTTTGATGGAATTACTATTATGGAAAAATGTAATGAAACATTTGTAGTAAATCTAAATCTAATCTTTAGAAATGAATGAATGCGTTCATTTTGACAGCCCTACTTCAAACTGTTTGTCAAAAGTGACGTCTTGATTTTTTTTTTGGCGGGTGACCTTACATCGGTGAAGCGCGTGGTTTTCTTGTCTTCTGCGTCTGATATGAAGTCATGGCTCTTACTGTTGCCGGCCTCTGCATTCTCAGCGTTGTGAGGACTGATGAGAAAAAGAGAAACATCGTCACAAGGACACAACGGAACAACAGGAACAACAGAACAACAGAACAACAGGGACAACAGCGACTCCCTGGTTTGGTCACTCAGTTTGTTACACTTCCACTCCGATCCGAACCCATGCAACGTGACCAGCACACATCGGTAACACGTGCTGACGCTCACGGTAACATACCTAGCACAGTTCTGGGCACAGTTGGATTCTGTTTCACTACAAGTAGCGTCGAGGCTATCCATCAACCATCGAGAGCATGAAGTGGAAAGAAACAGTATCGGAGTTATAAACATGTGGTTCAGCTAACACAGAGCCAGAGAGACAGAGGAGAAAGAAGAAAAGAAAAGTAAAAGAAAACACTGGGAACACAGCGACACCTGGAGGTCACTCCATCATAGGCTACTTGTTAGAAAAAACATGGTAGCAATGTTGCCTGTTTTTCAAAGAGCTTCAACAGCCACTGAAAACTGTGATGACCCATGGTTCCAGAATGTTTCCACAGCTCTGAGTACTGAACATCATTTACTCTGTAAACTGTATATATTTGTGTACACGGTGTTGTACACGTAGGACAGTACTCACGTCTGACCATCCTCGGCTGATGTTGTTTTGGTCATTGCCGTCATCTCGCAGGACTCGTGGCCCTTCCCGTTAGGAACAGCGTTGACCTCAGCGGACGCGCTCATGTCAGGTTCTGTGTATTGGTGTCTACGTTGGTCGGGGGAAGGATATTATTTTTAAGGCTGCGTGAATGGTTATGCTTTGGGGGAGAGGTGAGAAGTTCCTCCTGGAATCTGTGGAAATAAAAAAAAACAAGATTTTATCAATAAACGGTCAAACTCAGAGCTGTTGAAGAAGATCTTCACGTGTGTCTTTCTTCAATTCCTGCAAGTGGAGCAGCTTTGTTTTCAACATAAGCCGAGTTAAATAGAAGCAAATAGAAGAGCAGCTTTGTTTTCAACTAAAGCCGAGTTAAATAGAAGCAAATAGAAACTGGAAGATCATTGTATTTCATTAAGATTAAAATGAAGTGATTTATGTGTTAGCATCAGTCAGTATCTCAGGGAAATGATATGTCAGCTGTCAGGTCTGAGGGAACAGAGCTCCCAGTTTGCTGCGACACACTGGGCTTTGAATCAAACTTTAATTTCCTAAGTCTCCTGTTGAGGTTGTTTTGCTGACCAGCTGGACGGTGGAACCCAGAAAGGCTCCTGTGACAAGTACCTCCTAGATTCTGTTGACCCAATCTGGCCGCTCCTGAATGATCCCCTTTGCTGTGCTGCGTAAACGGCCGTGGACACCATAATGGAGAGCAGGTTGGGGGCCACAGAGGAGGCCCCTCACACAAACGGTCAAACCAGCAGCACCGGGACAAAAAGAGAAGAACCAGCTCTGACCAGCTCACCGTCTTTGTGCCCCGCTTTTTCTGCTTGTCACTTTTCTCCCCGGTTTCCTCTTTCACTGCGGAGAGTTCAACATAGCAACAATGCTCGGGATTTTTGTTGTACCTGGCAGCGGCTCAGCCATCTTTGTTTCCCAGATTCCCCTTCCGCTCCAGAGCCTGCCCTTCTAAATGTCGTGGCATTGTGATATTATTTTACCACATTAAACAAAGTCTAAGGTGAATAAAGGCTGCTGTTGATCACACAATCTTCTGAACCTGTCGCCCACGCCACGTTGCTCAGCGTTTCAATGTGCAGCCCGGCCTCTCGGTGTCTCTGGCTAAAGCCGGGCAACGTGGTTGGGCAGCAAAGCACACAGCACAATGGCACATGTTGTGCGGTTTCCTGGGAACCGGTTGGGGAACAGTGCAACTATTGTGCCAGGGATCATTATCCTTGGGGCCTCCTTGGCTGTAGCTCACCAGGCCACTCGAGAGGCTGAAAAGGTATTTCACTGGGCTCTAATTGAAAAGATGCCACCTTAAATTCAGTAAATGCCAGTATCCTGTACTCAGGCACAGTTGTAGCAGAGTTGCTGACAGTAGCGTTGGCAGAGGCCGGGCCCCTCTCGTGGGACAAATCACCGCACAGAACCGCACTGCCACTCGGATCGTCCACAAATCAAATGAGGGTTAAAGGAGGGGCTGTCCGGCCACACTGGTGCCTTCTCAATGGCTGAGCCGACCTGATTGGACGGTTCTGGCTCCTACAACTATTAAGTTGAATCACAGCGATATTACATGACATCTACAAAAAAAAAAAAAAAAAAACAGCTCAGTGAATTCCCAGGTTAAAGGCAAACAGAGACAGAAGGACTTCTGGGAAAATGAAGGCCTTCACTGTGGTTTGTTTGCCCAAGGGCACACACAGTAGGCAAACTCCGTTTGAACCCGGAGCTTCCAAAGTACAGCTGGTGCAAGTATTGCTGGTGAAGTTGTACTACAACAGGTACACGTCTTTGATACTGCAGTATGAAACTGCCATAACAACAAATCGACAACATTCTGTCGGACACACGCACACAGAAACTCCTAAAATAAAATATATAACATGCGTACTTTACCAGATGGTGTCTGGAATCATTCATTCATTTTTTCTTTATTTTTTTCCCACACAAACAGGAAGAGATTTCCTGCAGATTAAGAGATTACACATGGCCACGATTTCACTGATGAGTGGCTAATAGACCTAGCAGTGAGTATTTCATGGTACAACCTCCGACAGACATGAGGATGGAGGAGGTAAGATTAGGTGACCGTCAGGATGGAGCAGGAAATCAGGCCGCACAGGTCAATTCATAGACCTGTGGATAAAAATAGCTGCAGAGGAGTCAACCTACACTGGGTCTCACACTCTGATGCTGCTGCTGCTGCTGCTGCTGCTGATGATGATGTCACTGCTGATGCTGCATTGACTATTACAACAAAAAGGAGCTTCAAATAAGCAGAAGTGCAGTAGCAACAATTGTCGTGATATTGCTTTTTTTTTTTTAAGTCAATCACAGAGCTGTAGATATTACAGGATTCACTCATCCAGACTATAGTGTACAGCAGTGTTTCCCAAACTGTTTCCCAAAACAAAAACTTGCGACCCACCTGAGGGCCACGACCCAGTCTTTGGGAAACAATGCTGTAGAGGGCAAAAATAAAGCAGTTACCTGCAGTAGAAAAATTGATCTTTTGTAGCAGCATTTTCACATTTAATTCAGCGAAACATATTAATTAATTAACAGCTCGTTCTTTCAATCGTTTTCCTTTCGTTTCCTCTCGACCGTGCGTTCCCTCACACTTTTCCGTCCCTGTAATCAGCTGATTATAGCTCGTCCTCTTCTGTTCTTCTGGTCGACATCTTTTTCCGACCGTATGTCGTCTCTTTCTGGCTCAGATCTCGTCTCCTGCTGTGACTCCAACTCCCAAACACCAGCAGGAGTCTGCAGCGTGACTTGACCCATAACTGTTAATCTGCATCTCCACCAGTCACACCGTGTCACCACCAACCATCACCACCAGGGCAGGAGGTGGAGGAAACCAGGCGGGTTCTGCTGACTGCTGCAGATTTTTCATCATCGGATTTTTTTTTTTTATCATGTCTGATAGAAATAAACTGAGCAGAAAAGACCAATAAATAACATTATTATAACATTTTTATACAATTGTCATCGAGATTTCAATTAGCATCAAATGTGATCGAAGAGAAAATAAAGATTTTTGCTGTGGATTATTTCAAAATCAGCATCTTATATTATTAATTTTATATAAAAGGCAGGGAGATTGTGTTTCTTTGTTTGTTTGCTTAAATCAAAAATTTATAATAAACAAAATACCCTGAGGTCATTGTGGAGCGTCCAGTAGGAGGCGCCCTCACTGTTCTGGGTTCTGAGGAGTTTGGACTTTTAGTCTAATTTTTGTTCAAATTATTACATTTCAATAATCAGTTTTTATTTGTTTTATACCACATGTTTAAGAATCCCTGACAATTACAGGTATATAGTGCAGGGCGACACAAGAGGCACCACGGTTTGAGAACCGTCGGTCAGATGCTTGGTTACTCAAACTGAATCAAGACAGTCTGCACCACAGGGTGGCGTGACACGGTGGAGAGGCAGGTACGAGGCCGTGTGATTTTCCGCCGGGTGTTGATGACTCACCCAACGTGTGGCGTATAAATAGAAGTGCACGTGA